ATGAAGGCAGAATACATTCTTTAATCTTATGGGTTGAAAACCAAGACTTGACTCCTATTTTTTAATTATTTATTCTTTTTAAATTGAAGAGCTAGTTTTTCTCAAACACAACTTGATTGTGTGTTCAATTGATAATTGTTTTTATAATATATGTATTTTTTAAATCTATAATCTCTTACTAATTTTCTTTTATACATAAATATATATTTAGTTCTATAAATCTTTTCTTAATCTTATTATTGATTGAACAAACTATTAACCTGATGTTCTACAAATTCAGATAACAACTCATAGGCCAAAGACTGGTGCTTGAACCCTAGTAAAATGAGAGAGCTAGGCCAAACTATTAAGATGCTTCCATGATCTAATCAAACTTATGATTGAACTTGGCTTCGTTGGCAAATATCTACGCAGATTCCTTAGCTTCATTGTTGGTGTTCTAGGAAAGAAAATTTCCTTTCAGAAGCTTCATATGTTTTTGGTTTTTGGTATTGGATTTTCATTTTCTTTCTATTACTTGGATTTGGATTTTAAACCTAAAAAATTGGATGGGTCTTATTTTGCTTTTGTTCAACTAAATGTGAAAGGTTCCAGGTGGAATGGATACAACAAATATGCAGAGTCTGATTCAGGAAATTGAGGCTGGTGAACTCTTTTATTTATTGAGACATATTAACAAACACATGGCATGCATTTGTTTAACATGTGGGCAGGGGTGAAATCGTGTGGGTAAATCATGTAGGCATCAAATTACAGTTAAAGATGTAGTTACCAGGATTTCCAGTGGCAGGATCAGAGCTTTGGATGCCCAATTTTCACAGCGTCACGGTAGCAAGAACACCAACGGTGATTCGTAGAACAGGACAACAGCAACTCCATCCACAAAAGATATATATATATATATCTTGTGAGAATTTCCATGTTTGCTGATGGCATGAAAAACAAAATCTCCCGCTGTTCGAAGGGGTAAAATTTGTTTTATTCTTCATTTTCGGCGTGGCTGATCGTTGGAAGCTCTCAGCATCTCTGCAGTCGCTTGAAAAAGTACTGGATGGTGTGATTTGCCGCTCGAGCGGCAAAACCGACGCTCGAGCGTGGAGCCTATATGAAATCACAGAATTTGAAGTCTCCGCTCGAGCGGGGAAAAGGGCGCTCGAGCGGACCGCGCGATCCCAGATTTCCAGATTTGATTAAGGAGTTGGTTTTCTTCTGAAACTAGGATTGCTTTTGGTTTTCTATAAGTAGTTGGTTTTCTACCAAAAACTTAATTACTTTTTTGGAACTGCTCCAGATCTTATTTTTGGATCTTAAGATTTATATCTGGAGAGATTTTGTTAGTTTTCTTTGATGTTTTTATTGAGTATTCAACTCATGATCTAAAGAGAGTACATCAAAGGTTTGTTTGTTATACACAAAAGAGAGAGTTATTCTTCAGTTGTGGATTCTGAAGAATTCGAGCCTGAAGCTTTGGTGGAATCCGGAGTGGCTCATCAGAAAGACAATTCCGTGGTGAAGATGGGGTTGGAAGAGGCACATAAAGGTTGGTTCAATTAGGCGTTGTGGATTCGCTAGGTAATTGAGAGTATACCTGTGTAATTCCTTTAATTCTTCTTAGTGGATTGTCTTGTGGATGTTGCCCGTGGTTTTTTTTATCACAGTTGGAGGTGTCCAATTATGGTTTTTTCCACGTTAAAATCGTTGTGTCTCTTTGTCTTGATTGTTTGATTGTTTGATTGGGATTGTTATATTCTGCTTAAAATTGATACATAATCACAAATCAACATCTAGGGGATTTCTAGATTTTTCAGATACAACAAATATGCAGAGTCTGATTCAGAAAATTGAGGCTGGTGAACTCTTTATTTATTGAGACATATTAACAAACACATGGCATGCATTTGTTTAACATGTGGGCAGGGGTGAAATCGTGTGGGTAAATCATGTAGGCATCAAATTACAGTTAAAGATGTAGTTACCAGGATTTCCGGTGGCAGGATCAGAGCTTTGGATGCCCAATTTTCACAGCGTCACGGTAGCAAGAACACCAACGGTGATTCGTAGAACAGGACAACAGCAACTCCATCCACAAAAGATATATACATATCTTGTGAGAATTTCCATGTTTGCTGATGGCATGAAAAACAAAATCTCCCGCTGTTCGAAGGGGTAAAATTTGTTTTATTCTTCATTTTCGGCGTGGCTGATCGGGGAGGAGCTTTGGGAAGTAGGCCAAAATTCTGTACCAGCAGCAGGAAGGGCTTCGCAATTGGTAGGAAGAATGGTGGGATTTGTTTGTTTCTACTGTCGTGTGCGTGGCTCAGTTGAAGGCCGCGTAGCCAGCACAAATCGGCTTTACAAACCAAAGCAGCAGCTGCGTTACACCATCCAAAGAAGCAGCTGTGTTACACCATCCTTACACTCTTTTCATATAGGTAATAGATAGGAATGCAGCAAAATTATGTTGAATTGGCGTGAAGCAAAATTTGGGTGAATATATATATATATATATATCAAGTTTTCATTGGGTAATTATTTGAATAAAGGAAATGGTCTTTCTCATCTAACTTGCATTTTTAGAAACTCTGTTAGCTACAAGGAATTTTTTTTTATTTTTTTTATTTCCTCTTTTCAATCTCAAAGGAACCTTGACAAACATGTAGTTGGTGATAGAATAAGATTTTTCATGTTTCACATAATATTTACAAGTGAGGTTTTTTTTTTAATATGTATAAATCTTTGGTTTCTCCTTTTTTTAAAGTTTTTCTTTTGGGTAGTAAATTTTTTTTGTGTGTGTGTTGAAACTCTTGTTTTGTCATGGAGTTTTCGGGGCTTTTTTTTCTAAGCAGATTTTGAAGAGCTTTTTTCTTATCCTGCTTCTTTAGATTACTTGATTTCCTATTATCTCTCCTCGTTTAATATTTTGGTATTTTCTAATCGTTTAATATTTTAGCTGAGATGGTTATAGATGGCTGGGACAGGCCATTTAAGGGTTTTGGGGTTGAATTTAAGGTTTATGAGGGCTATATGTTTGGTTGGACAAGTGATTAAAGGAAATCAGCTAATAGCACTGTAGCAACAGGGAAAAAATTAAGCAAGAAAATATGGAAAGAGGGAAAAAAAGAAAGGAGGCCTAGGAAATCAGACTAAGGTTCTTAGGAAAGCTCACTTGTAAAAAGATACAACACACATCCACAAAAAATAGGCAGCAAAAATATTTCTTCATCGATTGATCAAAAGAAGCCAAATATGTATATACAGGAGAGTGAAGTTTGCAGGCCAATCAAACTTGGTGGCCGAGAAAAAATTCAGACATGGGTTGTATTGATTCTCTAATGTTTGAACCCTAGCGAGTTTTATCCAAACTAAATAAATCAGCTCACAAAGAAAAAAGCCATCTTTGCAGCCCATAAAAATTCAAGAAGAACACAAAAACAATAATATAGTCTAATTTAAAACTCCTAATTTTCCTTTGCAAGACCTAAGCTACAGTCCTGCCAAATGTTTGTTCTTGACTCTGTTTTCACCAATCTGCTGTACACAAGAAATGTTTTTTTCAAGTTGTCTTTCTGATTTCGTGGCCTTATTTTATTGATGCTGTGTGTGTGTGTGTGTTTTTTTTTTCCCCTGCTGTTTGGTTATTCCATTTCTTGTTTGTTTTCCTGGTTTGTTTTTTCAAATAATTTAAGGAAGTTGCTGATTTGATTCTTTTTTCTTTGTGTGTGTGTTCTTTGTATATTTGTTTTCTTGTTTGCTGAGTTGCTTTTTCAAGTTGGTTCAGGCATATTATCAAACACATGGTGAACAATATATGGAAGCCAAAACATCTCAATCTCTTAGTCAAAGATATTTGCAAACACATGTTGGACAAAGCATCTCATACCAAAAAACAAAAAACAAAAAACAAAAAACAAAAAAACAGAGCATCAATAAAATAAGGCCATGGAATCTCATAAAAAAAACAACACAGCATCAATAAAATAAGGCCATGAATGTATAATAACATTAAATACAAGTAGGAGTAAGACAGGAACACCGAGACAGAGAGAGACAGAGAAGAGGAACATACCGGTTGTTTTGTTTGCTACAGATACAAATAGGACCGACATCAGCGGCAGAAAGTATATATATAAGGAAAATGTTTGAGTGGCCCTCTAGCATTGCTGTATATATAATCCTATTTCTCCTTATCAGCTCATAGTGGGTTTGTTTTTGTTGTCTCTTGCTTTCCCAAGAGGTAGAATCAAGACAAAGGATGCATGATTACTCTTTTATCCCGCAAACACCACTTGCATGCTTAAGTTTCTTCATTTCTATTAAAATGGATTATCTCACCCATACTTTCTTCTCTAACCATATTGTGTTTTGGAAACTACAATCCTTCGTAAGCTTTTTTTTTTTTCTTCTTTTTTTTTTTTAAACTACGTTTATTAGTTTGTTATATGAGTTGTTATAATAGTTTTCATGTATAGTGTATTTTATTAGATAGTGTTTAAGTAATTTACAGAATAAATAATATTTTAAAAAGAAATAAATATTATCAAAATTGTTTGTTTAATAATCTTTGAGATGACGAATATATTTTGCATCAACAATGGTAGGTATCATGAAAAATCTTTCATGAAAATAATCATGAAAGTTTTGTGACCTTTGGATTACACTTAGAATAAAACACCACACACTAATCAAGGTAATCCAAGGATCATAAATTTTTCATGATCATTTTCATGAAAAAAATTTCATGATCCTTAACTTTTCCCTATTTTGCATAGATTTGAATATTGAAATCAAAAAATTTGTTCTAAAAATTAATTATTTTAGTTAATTTTTAGACTTTTTGCCCCAAACAAAAAAAAGCAGAAGAGTTGACGGGACTTCTGTGACTTGTAGCTAATTGCCAAAAACAAGTCTCAATATTATGAAACTCAGTTAGATTATTAGACAGAATGTATTTGTTACAAGGTATGGTGGTAATGAGTGCACTTCAACACAATCACCAAAACAAAATCAACAAAACTGGGAGTTTCTGAAAATTATATGCATATTTCCAATTCAACTGCAAACTAACTGGATATGGATCTCCCCATATACAAGTATTGACAACAGATTACTTTCTTTTTCCCAAGCAATACATCAAAATTTACACAACTGAGATCTAGTAAACAAGTGATTACATCGAAACATAACCCTATGCCTCAACACACATTACAAGGAAAACCAAAAATCTATCTCCTCCATTAATGCCACAAAAGCATAACCAAAAAAACAACGACGACGACAACAGCAACAACTATCTGTAGTTGTAAACCTTAGAATGTGAGTCCAGATCAGGTCTCCACCATTGATGAATTCCATGAGCTTCTTTGAAGTCTTGTGCAGGAATTAAATTAACAACCAGATTGGCTGAAGGAATGAGGTGTAGAGGCTCTTCTGACTCCTTCCCCATTGCGCTCATAAGAAGGCCCCTGAATGAATTCTGTGTGGCTAACCTCTCGACCTCTCCTGCTCCGATTTCCTCCATTTTCTTCCTGTGTTCAAAGTACCCAACGTACTCTGAGCAAATGTGATCCCCAGGATGGACAAATAGACATGGAACCCATGCAGACAAAGCTACAAATGGATCTTCTGATAAATTCTTCTGCTGTCGAGCCCTCAAAGCAACAGTGAGTCCTGCAGCGAGGAAACTGCTTGCAATCCGGATCCCATGCTTCACTTTCTCATCCTTGATTCTCTCAATTGGCGCGGACAAGTATGGCGGGTTAAAGAGAAAAGCTTCGAGAAAAACTCCCATCTTCGCCATAGTCTTTCCAGCAAGCATTGCCATGGCTGCTCCCAGGGAATGGCCAGCTAACCAGATATTCGAGTTTCCAAATTCAGCAACTGTGTTCCGCACAGCTTGCATGGCAATCTCGAACCGGGATGTCCGGTGCAGTCCATTTTTTATAATGTGGATGTCCATTTCGAGATCTCGTAAAAAAGCGTCTCCTTTGGTTAGGGTGCCTCGGAAGGCGATTACATAACGTGGACTTCCGTTTGTTAAGTGGTTGCAGTCACATGCTGATTTAAATTCATAGATGGCACCAAAGATGCAATGATCAGCATCATCCACAAGCTGACTATGTAATCGGAAATGGAATAATTCCCACCAAGGAGCAGCAAGAGCTTCAGGCCCTTGCCTATTCTCCTGGCGGTCCCGCTCTAATATGTAGACACCCTGAACCAAACAGGCAGCCACAGACCTTCGGTGATCCACATTTTTCCTGCACAAGATAGCACAATAATTAACGTCTCTGATTTCATTGTTCATATATAGCAGAAAGCATCATGGAATATACATCTATAACGAATCCAGCAGAAACAAGGTTTCATTTTTCATTTACAGATCATTTTTCAGTGCTGGAGGGAATCAATCAAACCGCAGAAAAATATAATGAAGCATCGAAATTGCATAGAAAGACATAATCAGCAGAAATTTCAATATAACTGAATTCTCAATCATTTGAACACATGGGTTCAGCCATCATCCTGCAAGGGTGACTTAGAAACTCTTAAGAACTTGGGCATGGCTATGTAGTGATTATACATATTTTTAGTCCCAAGGTAAAATATATGCTTAGTCATGCCTTTTAAGTTTGTTCGTGGATGTGGCTTCTGAAAGAACGGAAGAAAATTAGCGTCAATTAAACAATTCAAATTCAAAGTGATGATAAACAAGCATGGAAGCAGGTCTTCTTCAAAGGTAGAATAGGCTCAAAAGTCAATTAAAGAACATGGCCAACATGTCATGCCACACCAAATCCAAAAGTCAAATATGGAACCCAGCACCAATTTTAACAAAATATCTGTCAAAATTCCAAAGCCCCTAGGTAGAATCAGAACATGCACCAAACTCTCAGGGAAAAAAAACCCCACATGGCATTGCTCCAAACTGTCAGTTGATTTTGTTCAATGTGAGTTTTAAGGTAACATCAAGTAAGCTGTTCCAATGTCTCCCCAAGAAGAACAAGAAATCTTAGAGATGATTCTAGCATTAGCGTGAACAGAAGTCTGAATCCTATAAAATGACTTCAATATTTTGCATGACCATTGGCATACACCTCCGAGTCCACCTCTCAAATTCTCTAATTTCCTTCAACCCCAAAAATGCTATAATAATGTGGGGAGAAAAGGACAAACCAGTCAACATCGGTTAGGTGCAAGGGACCTGTAAGGTTGAAATCTTCCCTTTCTGAGGTCATCACACCTTAGTCTTGATTCTCACTTCTGTATATCAGGAACTTTTCTGCACTGCAGAGGGAAAAAAATAAAAAAAGAAAAATCAGTGAGCACTCATCAACAAACATGATACTCAACATGGATAGATATAAGCACATTGCTTCATGTGCAAAACTATACACATTATAAACCCCTCTCTACATGTGTTTATGAAGATGAACTGATGAAGAACTTGTCCATAAGAACATCCAACACCCAGCAAGTTCATAAATTGCTGAATAAGCCATCTCACAGCCTAATAACATTTGTCAATGGGAAAAAACCAAGATTAGCTAGAATGAATTTCTATTCTATTTATGGCATGCTCATTGAAATCAAGTCACAAACCGAGGGGTATGGCCAATATTTGGGCACTTTGATAGCTATGTGCTGTACTCTAATCCAAATTCTTCTAAAGCATTTTCTTTGCTACTAATTACAACAATTTCAAAACGTTGAATTGAGCCACAGTAACCAAACCAAATTTGAGAACACAGAGGCACTGACACAGATACAACAAACACATGAAGTTTGCTACAGAAAATCTTATTAAACTCCTGATGTTTTAAGATGTCATTCCTGCACCACCATTCTACGACAACTTCGGAGTAGTATGCAACACCAAAGTCATCTGAATTTCTAAATACATGGTTATACAATAAATGTGTGTATCAAAATCTGTCTATATGCAAGTAGAACAGAAAATAATATATTCAATGATGTAGGCCGAAAGGTACCACATTGAGGCCACTTTAAGTTACATTTTTTATCTTTCAATTTTCTTTATTTGGTGGAGATGATGTGTTTCGTGTACTTGTACAGATTTGGCAAGAAATCTGAAAATTCAATCAAAAAAGGCACGAAAGCAGATCTACCGTGCGAGAAGTGAAGAATCCGAGCCAGCCAAGCCACCGCACGTGTGGCCAAGCTTCACCACAGGTGCGGACCACTACCGCTCGTGCGGCCCACATGGGCGCTCGAGTGGCCCACCTAGGGACGCATGCACGGAATTTTTGGTCTATTTTGCTGAGAATAAAATAAAGAAAAATAGCCAAACCTAGGGTTCGAAAATTAATTCAGAGAAAAGGAAGGCTAGGGTTCTAAAGAGGTGGTATTCTCCTAAAGCTTGAAGGACACTTCCATAGGGATTTCTTCCTCATCTTCTTCCTCTTCCCACTCCTCCATGAGTGGCTAGTCGTCTTTTCTAGGGTTTTGATGAAACCCTAGCCATGTAATAGGATTTTTCATTAGTTTTAATTGTGAATTGGTTTGAATGGATGTGTGGATGATTTAGAAGTTTTTAATATTTGTTTCTTTCATCTTTTCAAGTATTTTACTCTCTGTGATTGTTTAATACTTTCCATGCATTAGTTTTCTTTGTGTTTGTATTCAAAGTACGAGACAAGTCATGCTATGAGAGACGGGTTGTGTTGCTACCATAGTTTAGAGCAAACGACTCGTACTACTCGAGATGATTCGTGCCTGTACGTTGAATGCGACAACCCTCTTGATCAATATTTCAAACTTGTAGTTGTGAAATATTGAATAGTTCAAACCGAATCGCGATTGTTGGCCAATGTTAAGTCTCATTCATGTGGTTAGTGGTGCATTCTCTACCCTAAGATTTTTCCCGAAAATTAATATCTCAGACCCTAATTTTAATTGTCAATATAATTCTTCAATTTCATTTAATTGTTGTTTAGTTATAAAATCAATCTTATCTTTTTAATCAAAATTAATTTAGGAATTTAGCGATTGAATTAATCTAATTTCGCATTTGTCCCTATGGATGCCATTATTCTAATAGAATTTGGTATAGTTTAGTGATTTATTTTTGGTGTGTGTAACGACCCATCATTCAGATATATCACAAATCTATAATGTTTCATGTTCACGTGTATAGTCTCGGCCTTTAATAAGATACAAGGAATCAAAGGCTTTGGTATTGAGTATTTTAGGCTTGACCTGAAACTTGTGCACACAAAAGGTACTCAAGTCATAACCAGTTCTTCAAAAATGATCAAAAAAATTTCAAATCAGTGCAGAAATTAAGATCGGCTTAAGTTTTAATCACACTTCACATGTTCAATTACGCAAGCAAACTACAGTTTCATATCTGAATGAACCTCCATAGTTCCAAAAAAAAAAAAAAACGATGGGGCACCAACTGAAACTGAGGAAATACAAAAAGCCATCCAGGAAGGAAAATTATGCATGGGAGTTGCTGGCTGCCACCACTAGCTACGACATAGATCTGTTACCCTAACAAAAGTAAAGCTGTTTACTCTTTGAAATAAAAAAATTTTGCTAAGGAGGGACCTTAATGTTTAAGGACATACTATGCAGATAGGTAACTATTGCTGAATGATGATTAGTCCAAAGTCACAATAGAGTAATATTAAATTTCAAGAACCACATTCTTCATTTCCCCAACACCTTTAAAATCAATTTGAACTTGCAAACTTCCCTCAATTTTTATACACTAAAGCTGTGTTTGGATCTAGGATTTGAACATAGATTTAAGAAGGGAAAAGAAAAGGAAAGGGAAAATGTCACAAAAATTTAGCTTCTATTTCATTGACTTTTCCGTTGTTTTTTCTTGTCCCTCTGCAATTCCCACCTTAAATCCTTGATTTAAACACAACCTTATATGGAATTTCAAATAATCTTGTCTTGAGCATAATGTGGCTTGCCCATTTCAAGTAAGCATAGAGTTAGTTTTGATGAAAGTCTTAACATGTAACCCAATTTTGCAATGTTGAAAACTACTTTGGGGTCTCAAACCAAGATCAATAGCAACAATCACACCTACCACTATATAAATCCATTAATCATCACTATAACCATTTGGGTCTGTCTACCAAAGTTAAAGAACAAAAGAAACCAAATCAAAGACAACTACTTTAACAACAATGCTTCGAATTACGGCACAAACATCACATACACACACAAACAAACAAACAAACAAACAAACAAACAAACAAAATTTCTTTAACTCGATTTATTCCTGAGAATTAGGGACGAAGAATAAGAAAATCATAATCTTAATCGGTAATAGCAATGTATTCATTCAATTCAATGGCTGGATCGAATTTTTCACAGTAACAGAAAATGAATGAAAGCTTTTCATTAAGCAAATTTTTAGTCATCGATTTTCAATATGTAAAAATGGCATATGCAAGTTGACGAATGTCAAAGAATTGCATTCGAGTCTGTAACATTTGAAGATCTTCAATATTAAAAAAAGAAAATCACCAATTCAGGATCAGATTAAAAGCAATATACATACATTATTATATGATTATATGAAAAGAAATGAAATTGAGTATTGCAGAAAAGAAATGTACCTTGAGAAAGTTACATATAGAGAGAGAGAGAGAGAGAGAGAGAGAGAGAGAGAGCTTGTAATGAAAAGTCGTGGGTTGGTTCCTCCTCTTTTTTCTCCTCGTATTCGATTACGGGAGTAACATTTTGAAGAAAGCCCTTCAAAAGGAGATTCGATTATAACCCCCTCATAAGGGCTGCTTGGCATAAAAAATTAAAAATTAAAATAATCAATATGATAATTAATTAATCTTTTTTTTTATAACTATTTATTTAATTACAAAAAAAAATCATAAATTATCTTAAACAACAAGGATAAATTACACTTACCTTCCCTGATGTTTGCCTTAATTATAGATATCTCCTCGTGGTTTCAAAAGTTACACAGGCCTCCCTTGCTTTCGAAAATAATAGTCAGATTCCCCCTTCCCATTAAAAGAGCTTTAACGACGTTAAATGGACAGTAAAATTGACCATAATACCCTTCAACCACATTGTGAAAAGACACAACTGACCCTACGCCGTCAATAACATATCCAAAGAGAAGTAAAACATCATTGTTTTGGTTTTGTGTTATGTATCTACTTCCTTAGAACTCTGCATCACTACCAGTAGATGGTCTAGATCTCAGACTCACTCTGATTGGTGTGAACTCGCTCCCAAAAAAAACAAAAATGACGAGTCAATGCATTCTCATCTTCTCAATTTCATCTCTCATTCTCTTCAACGCTCTCTTTTCTACCACCACTGACGACCTTGACAAAGACCTCAGCTTTCTCTAATCCGACACCAACGATGACTCTTCTTCCTCTTCTGCCACTGCCTCACCACCATCAGATCCACTCTCTAACGAAGACAATGATGACTTCTCTGACTTTGAGAACTACGACGACTTCGAAGTCCCCTTCTCCTCGGACTTCGATCAGGAAGATGAAGTTTACTCGCAACAACCTGAGATCGACGACAAGGACATCGTCATTTTGAAGAAAAGCAACTTCAGTGACTTCGTAGAGAACAATCGGTACGTGATGGTTGAGTTCTACGCGCCGTGGTGTAGACATTGTTAGGCTTTGGCGTCGAAGTATGCTGCAGCGACGACGGAGCTGAAAGGCCAAGCGCTGGTGTTTGCGAAAGTAGATACGACATAGGAGAATGAATTGGCAGGGGAGTATGAGATTCAAGGGTTTTCTATTGTTTATTTCTTTGTTGATGGTCAATATAAACCCTACAATGGCCAAAGGACTAACTAAAACCCCTCTCCCTCTCTCTCTCTATATATATCTATCTATACTATTGAGTGAACACTCCTTATGGTATCTTAAAACTGTTGTTTCTTATGCTGCCACGTGTCTACTTTTTTGTTAGATAGATGAGAGGAGGGGATTTGAACCTTAGACTTATGTCAAATGAATAAGACTTTTACCACTTAACTAGCACACAATATATGATAAATGTTTTATTTTACTTTTATTTATTTGAATTGCACACGCATAGCGTGTGCCAACCTCTAGTATATATATATATATATATATGTACGAATGAATGAAAAGGGTTTTTACTTTAAATGTCAGTTGTGTCTTTTCACAATGTAGTTGAAGGGTATATAGTCATTTCCACTATCAACTAAACGTCGTTAAAGTTTTTTTTACGGGGAAGGAAGAATCTGATTATCATTTTCAAAAGTAAGGGAAGTTTGTGAAATTTTTGAAACCACAAGGGATGTATTTGTAATTAAGGCAAACCTCAGAGGACGTAAGTGTAATTTACCCTAAACACAATTTTTTTCATCTCATAAAATAGTTAAAAAGTTAAAAAAAACTAACTGAAACAACCAAGTTTCCAAACCCATGAGTATCTCTTTTTTGGATGCATATTATGCACCATGTTAAATCTTTTAATTATTTTTTTTTTCACTAAATAATAAGATGCTAGGCCATCTCCAACGCTACACCAAATCTATCACCAAATTTAAATTTGATGAAAAAGTTTCTCTTTTTGTGCTCCAATAATTTCATCAAACATGTATCAAATTGAGAATATACCAAATATTTCACCAAACTAAGGATCTAGGCCACCTTTCACTAGTTTACTGTGCAGGACCGTTGGGGATGGGACACACCGTACAACTGGCCGGACGTCTGGCCGGTTGTCCCCCAGTCATTCGGTTACTTCAACAATTCCTAGAATAGAACAATGGTTTGGACTGTCAACAGGCTTCCAAAGTTGTTTGCTTTTTGTGACACCAAGACTAAATGCCTTACCAACATTGATGCATGGATTGCAAAGGCAAATACATTGCATGTAAATTCAAATTTGTACGCAAATTAGCCATTCGTTTAATAGGGTGCAACTCCAATAAGGTTACCGTTGGTTTTGTAAAGGATTTCACAAAGTTACCGTTGCAGTGGTCTATAAAATAAGACTGATTTATTTTTGAATTTCACAATATCATTACAATTTCTCTTTTTTTGCTCGCCATTGTTAACTTCAATCTCCACTTTTTATTTCATTTGTCAGTTGTTTCTTTTACAATATTCTCATTGTGTGATCTTCAGTCTGCAGTAGTTCTCCAATTTTTCACTTCTTTCTTTAATTTTTTACTTGTTTCTTTTACAATATTTTTGACTGTGTATTGAATGTTGTATCCTATTGAATTTTTTTAACTTGTTTATTTGTACAAATTTTACTTTCAAACTATGGAAGATTTTGAAATGTTTAAGGAATCACAAATTTTAGAGCAGAACACTTATGTTAATTTTATTTCAGAAACTTGTTTCTCGTGGTAAAGCGTTCACCATTATAGAAGATGAAACTTTATGTAGATCTTGATTGGCAATCTCTCAAGATCCCATTGCTAGTAATAGTCAGACCAATTTTTTTTGTTCTCAGCCTACTTTTTATCGAAATGATTATCGTTTTTGTTTTTTAGGTCGCTGAAGCTAAGCTCGTGTATCATACAATACAGAAAAAACACTTTACATTTGATACAAGTTGGGAAATTTTGCACCAAAGTTGTAAGTAGGATGAAATTAGAACACAAACCAAAAAAC